GCTGGGGGGCCGGCGCCGCCCGCCGCAGGCGCCGCGCAGCCGCCGCGAGATGGCGCCGCGCGGCCCGCGGGGTCGCTCCTGGAGTGATGCGCCGATTTTCCACCACCACCACCACCATAGGTAGGAGAGGGAGGAGGAGGAGGAGGAGGAGGAGGAGGAGGAGGAGGAGGAGGAGGAGGAGGAGGAGGAGGAGGAGGAGGAGGAGGAGTTGCCTCGGAGTTGCCTGCCATCCACATGCGGTGGGGGCACAGCTATGGCAACGCCGAGGGCTCATGCCATTAAACCCCAGGAGGGCGACGCAGCGCAGAATCGCAGCGTGCCCTACCTAGGTCGCAGTCGACAACCGCCAAGGGGACGCGGCGGCACGGATGCAGGCCTCTGCGAATCCGAGCCAAGTTCTCGCACCCCTTGCGTATGGCCTCGCCACATTCCCCGATCAAGTGCACGGGGCTGGTCGACGCGGTGCATCCGCACCGCGCGCAGAAATACAGGCAGTGGCGGGGCCACAGCTGCACGCGGTGCGAGGAATGAATGACCTTCCCGCCCACCCGAACACCCGCCCCCGCCTCCCGAATGACGTCGGCGGGGTGCGGCTCGCCCGAGCCGGCCTCAGCCGAGCACGGGGAGGCGCATGCCTCCACAAGACAAGTGCCAGACACGAGCTGGTGACAAAGGGCGCAAGCCTAATGCCGAGCAGCTCGCACAAAGCAATGACTCGAGGCGAGGAGCGCCTGCTGGAGGGGGGGAAAGTGGGCAGCAAGGGCGAGCGGTGGCCTGACCGCGGCCCAGGGGGCCGCCGCCGAGGCGTCCAGGAACGCCTGGCGGGCGCGCTTGCGCACGAGGGCCGCCGTGCAGTCCCACGTGTCCGTGTGAGGGGCAGTGCCAACCAGTGCCGAGCTCCAGGCGCGACGGGCGGCCAGGCCAGCGAGCTCGTCGGCAGCGCCGTTGCCCTCCGCCATGCGCCGCTCCCAAGCTGAGAGCTCAGGATCGTCGGCCTCGAGGTGACTGGGGGTCCATGTGACCCTGACCTCCCCCTCGTGCTCCAAGAAGGCAGCACGAATCATGCGCCAGAGGTTGCAGTTGGGGCCTGTGCCCCCGCCCGAGCGGTGCAGGCCCTTCTCCCAGCCCCGCATCAACATGGCACAATCAGTGACGTAGAGCCGGGGACCCTGGAAAGACGTCAGGGCCAGCGCGAACGCGCGCAGCTCAGCACGAGAGACAGCCTGATGTGGGCCGTCGAGGCCGCACGCGACGCCAGCCAAGCGACGGAGGCCGTCGGTGGTGCGTTCCATCACCACTGCGGCCGAGCCGACGCGGCGCCTACGGGCGTCGCTGCTGTACTGCCCGCCCGAGCCGTCTCCGAAGACGACCAGACAGGAGTCGGAATCATGCCACGCCCGCGCCGTGATGTCGACGTCGAGCGGGCGCTCAGAGTCATCCCCATCCCGACCCACCGTCCACACCGTCGCCCCCCCGCCCATCAGAGAACGAAGGAGTAGTGAGGGAGGAAGGAGGGAGGCCGCGAAGCCAGAGGGAGGGGAGGTTGTCCTGGCCCGCGAAGGCCTGGGGAAGCAGGAAATCCGAGTCCTTATAGCCTGGACCACGGTTGCAACTGCATTCCCAAATCCTATGAAAGAGGGTCTCGGGGGCCTGGCCGCACCTGGGGCAGAGCGGGGAGGCAAGGTACCCCGCTGCAAGCTGCCTCTCCTGCGGCCACTGCCCCCCCCCCCCCGACACGACCGTGAGCGTTTGACCCACAGCTTTGTACGCGCCCGCGCGCGCCACGCGACGAATCTCGACACGGATCAGAATGAAATCAGCGCCCTTGGTCAGGCCTTCACCAAACTGATGAGACGACGCCGCCGCCCAGAGGGAGGAGGAGAGGTCCTCGCGGAGGTCGTCGAGGAGATCGGAGAAATCAAAAACGTCCTCGCTCCTCTGCTCCTCGGGGGGCGGGTCGGGGAAACGCCAGATCTCCCAGTCGTTACCGACGGGCCTGTGCCATTCACACGCGTCGACTGGGAGCCAGCCGATGTCGAGGAGGGTGGCCTGAACATCTCCGATGGGCCCCCTCACCCTGCGCCATCTTCTGTTCGCAACACGACCGATGCGCACACGCACGCGTGGCCACGCACGAGCAATGCGAGCATGCAGGGAAGGGGTGTGCGTCCACATGTCCAGCCACGCCCTGACGAGCTGCACACGCTGCGAGATCGCTGGGTCCTGTTCGCCCAGCATCAAAGACAAGATCGTAGTGAGGCACCTGCCAGGCCCCTTCCCTGCAACAGCCGACGCGGCCTGTCGCCGCAGGACGGTGATGGAGGAGGGGGGAGTGCCCATGACAGGGTGCCCGTAGGAGGCCTGGGGAAGTGCCCCTTGGAGAAAGAGGCCTTTGAAATGTCGCACAGCTTCGCATCCTTCCGAAGTCTGAAAATCCTTCGAACACGATGCCGAGCCTTCGACCTCCTAGCACGGATCTTTTGCACAGCGCGCCTGGCACCAGCAGCGGTGTCACACCCGAGACTGGCAGCACACTGAACTCGGGAGAAAAGGAGCCCGACCTTTTGAAGGTCGGTCTCCAACGCACGTCCGGGGGAAGGCAGGAGGAGGAGGAGGACCTCCCCATCCTCCCTTCTCAGCGTCCTACCTCTGGTGGTGGTAGTGGAAAACTGGCCCACCATGGAGCGGAGGGAAGGGGGGGAGGAGGGGGAGTGCAGCATCCTTCCCTCCCTCACTCTTCTCCTCACGCTCCTCCCTCACCTCCTACTCCTCCTCCTCCACCTCCTCCTCCTCCTCCTGCTCCTCCTCCTCCTCCTTATCATCATCATCATCATCATCATCATCATCATCATCATCATCATCATCATCATCATCATCATCATCAGCATCATCATCATCATCATCGTCATCATCATCATCATCACCATCATCATCATCATCATCAGCAGCAGCAGCAGCATCAGTATCATCATCATCAGCAGCATCAGCATCAGCTTCAGCATCAGCAACATCATCATTCTCATAATCATAATCGGAATACCAATGCTAATACTTATACTCATAATGACCATCATCATTCTTATCAGCATCATCATCAACCTCATCATCATCAGCTGCAGTAGCAGTGTCATCATCATCATCATCATCATCATCATCATCATCATCATCATAATAATCATCATCAGCAGCATCATCATCATCACCATCATCATCATCACCACCACCATCATCATCATCATCATCATCAGCAGCAGCAGCTGCATCATCATCATAATCAGTATCAGCATCCTTCTCCTCTTCCTGCGCCTCCTCCTCCGCCTCCTCCTCCTCCTCCTGCCCTCTCCTCCTCTTCCTCCTTCTGGAATGCGAGAGGGAGGGGGAGAAAGGGGGACGAGGAAGATGATCGAGGAGGAGCGAGGATGAGGAGTGGCGGAAGAGTGAGAAGGAGGAGGAGGGGGAGGAGGAGGACGAGGAATAGGAGGAGAGGAGGAGGAGGAGGAGGAGAAAGAGGAGCAACAGCAACACGGAGGAGAGGGAGAAGCAGCAGCAGCAGCAGCACAGTAACGAAGGAGCAGCAGTGGCAGGACGAGAAGGAGGAGCATCACCAGCAGCAGGAGAAAAAGGGAGGAGCGGAAGGTGGAGCATCAGCAGGACGAATTAGGCTGGAGGAGGGAGGCAAGAACAGGAAGACGGAAGAGGCAGGACGGGGGGACAAGAAAGAAGCAGGCGGAGGCGGAAGGATGAGGAAAGAGGGGGAGCAGAAGGACCCTCGACCCCAGAACCTGGGGGATCGAGGAGGACCTCGAGGACCTCGAGGACCCAGGACCGAGGACCTCGAGCATCGTCCGAACCCTCGAGGACGACCCCGAGGACCGAGGACCGCGGCAAGGCCGTCCGTGGCCGCCGGGCGGGCCGCCGCGCCCGCGCCGGGCCCGCACAGCAGCAGCAGCCCCGAGGCCAGGGCGCACGCGGCCGCGCCGACGAGCGCCTGTAGCAGCCGCCGCCGCTAGCGACGCCGTCAAGGCCGCCGCCCGCCGCAGGCGGCGGCGGGGACGGGCCCCAGGGGTAGGCTCGGGAGCGGCCAAGAGGGGGGTGTCCCAGGAGGGGGGTGGGTGCAAATCATGACCGGCGGCCTGTGCGCGGCCCAGCGGGGGGGGGCCAGGGACGTCATGAAATAAGAAGAGGCGCCATGAAATCTGAGGAAATGTCATGCCCCCCGCCATGATATCCACCCCCCCCTAGTCGTCACCCCCCTCCTTTCCGCCCCCGATAGGCCCCAGGGGCAGGCCCAGGGTCAAGTTGGCCAGGGCGAACGAGTCAGAGGGCCCTGCTTAACCCCCCCCCCCAACAGCATGATAATCAATCGTGACACAACTTGGTATCACGGGCCACGCAGGGGCGGGCACGGCAAAACTTGCGATGGGCGCGGCGAAGACCAAGCCCGCGCCGCGATGACAAGGCATTGCCAGTCACCCAGAAACTACACGGCGTTTGGGCGAGGCTGGCACTTCGCTTGCTCTCGCGCGGCCACGCTGCCGCTGTCGCTCTCATGGGCTTCGGCGAGCGAACCATGCGCCGCGCCCGCGCTGGAACGCCACTTCCGAGCCAAATGCGCACGGAGCTCAGGCGAGGGCGACAAGTCGCCCACTCGCGCGGGCCCCCGAAAGTTGAAGAGAGACAAATATGCGCCGCGTCAAAGCGGGAACGTCACTTTCAGGCGAAGCCTGCGCGGCGCCGAAGCGACAGCGACATTTTCGCCCGCTCGCTCGTCGCTCGTCAACGAGCATGCGTGAGAAAGATGTGCGCTGCGCCCGAGCGGGAGCTCAGTTCTCTGGAAAAGTGAGCGCGGTGCCGAAGCGAGAGCGACATTTCCGCCTTTCGCGCGGGATGTGCGCCCGTGCCATTCCTGCCACGCATTTTGCAACATGGGCGACGGAACATCTATGCTGAGACGAACGTCGACTTTGAATTGTTTCCACCGAGCGCGTAGGATGGGAGGG